ATTAATATCTATAACTCTATTACGTCGTGTTTGGTTCGAGACTTCTCCTCACTATCCCAGCAAAGTGCATCTGGGTATGTCATTTCTCCACGTTTGGTTGAGGGATATCCTGAAATTTCTCCATCAAACTTGCTTCCCCATCTATCCACATATGCGTGTAAAAAATGAGTTTTTCACTATTTCAGAAGCTCTCTCAGATGATGGTATTATTGTGAATACCGGACAAATTGAAAAAGGGATGAAAAATGTGACAAATTTACCCCCTCCTCTTACCCCTCCTCTTCGCTGCTATCTCCATAGCTCTGCAACTGGGAGAAGCCACCATGAAAGAGCACAAAAAACTTGGGAAATTCTGGAGAGAGAAACACAGATAGAGAGAGAAGGGATGAAGCATGAAAGAGCACAAAAAATTTGGGAAATTCTAGAGAGAAAAACACATATAGAGAGAGAAGGGATGAAGCCACCATGAAAGAGCACGAAATTTTTTTGGGAAATTCTGCAGAGAGAAAAACATAGATAGAGAGAGAAGGGATGAGTGTTATTGTTTATTGATGTGTTGGTATGAATCCCGACGAGACGGAATGGGCCAATGAATGAGTGCCACGTCAGTGAGGGAAGGGTGGGGCTCTTTAATCATGCGCTTGGAGAGACATGAACATCATACAATACATCCCCTTCACGCTTTAACATTTCAAAATTTTAATAAAAAGGTTACTTTCGTAATTTTATCTTTTTTTCCCATCTATTTCTTATTTTCAACCAAACATACATCAAGATTTTTAACCCAATTTTCCCATCAATATTTTGAGGTACCAAACAACTTTTTTTAAACTTTCCTACCAAACTTACTTTCCTTCCATTTTCCTATCAATTATATTTTCCTAGTAAAAGAAAATTTCTCCTGAACCAAACACTACCTTAAGAAAAAATATTCAGTGGTCCGGCCTCTATTTCTCCCTCTCTCTCTCCTCCCAATGCATGTGAGTCAGTAGCGTTGATAAAATACAAAAACTGGAAAGCATTTCAACAGAATGTCCATTGCAATTGTTTCTACATATTATTCCAGGAGATAATTCTAGCTTGGTCCAAGAAATCTGAGTATATATCACTACTAGTAACTATCAGATTCCTTTCATCCACATAGATCCCCTAGTAATCTATGACTGATTATCTCCATCCACTAATTTTGCTTTCCTCTTCACCCTTGCTGAGTTCACTGCCACTGCAACCACAAGTTAAGAATAATTGGGCTATAGTACCAACAATTAAAAGCATCACCACAAGTGCAAGCCATTTAAATGTTAGAACATGAAAATTGAAGGGAAAAAATGGCCTATTTGGTTTCAACTTGACAAAAATAAACACACCAAAGATTGTATCATTATTGCATCACATAAAACTTGCTAAGTGTCATGGCAAACAGTGTAGTGCTTTTACCTCAGGATGAAAAGTGAGAGCCAACTTAACTTCTCCACTGTATTTCTGATTCCTCACAACATTGTAAACAGTTTGTGGAATGCTACCCTCAGCAAACACTGGTTCCAAATTAATTCTGCATATATGAGAAAAAAGTGCATTTTAGTTTTTCACCATAATTGAGAAAGAAAATCACAAATGAAATGTACAAACAGTTCAAGACACATAAGAATAAGAAAAAAGAGAAAAAGCCACGTTTAGTTTGTTTTCAAAAACCAAACCAAAAAACTATCTATAAGCATTTCTTTGAAGTTTTCTAATTCTGTTTTATAAATTGATTTTGAAAACAAATGAAACAAAAAACAGAATCAAATTCCAAATCACTATACATCAGAAAATTGTAACACATCCTAGTTAGAGGGATTTTAACTCACTTTGCCTCACCAAGGAAATCATCCTTGGTAAACGTATCTTTGTCCATTAGCCTCAAATTAAGCTCAGAAACATTGTCAGAAACTGTAAAAAGGAAGCTTTCATTCCAACTGGGATTAGATCCTGCACCTATAACACAAGGTAATTCAGCAACTGCAATATTTTATAAATATTATTCCCCAAGAGAGAATTTAGAATCAAATTCAAGCCACTAGAGAGAAAATGGTGAAGAAGGCAAAAAAGAGAGTGAAACACACCTTGAGCAACACTGCTTCTGTGTTCTTGTGCCCTATAAGTGAGGATCACATAAGGATCCATTTTCTCTGCTCATCAAGAAATGATATGTAGAAATTCAACCCTTTTGCATTGATTACAATCTTAAACTGAAAAAGTCTTGAAATAAAAAATGGGGAAACATCCATTGAATTGAAAAGTATAATCTCTCCAGAGCTATGAGAAATTAAGCCAAAATTAAGTTTCTAATCCGTACTTTGATGCAACAAATTCTATGAAATAGAGGAAAACATTTAAATCTATATATCATTCTCATGTTAACACCAACAATTGTTATGGCACCTAATAGTATGTTATCTACCATTGAATTTGAATTACTTACTGAAAAAATCACTATCATGAAGCCCTTTTGCGCTAACAAGAATAACTTCAAGCGTTCCACGAGGCATCTTTGGCTACAATTCTGATATCTCTCTCTCACAAGTTAGAAATTGAAGTTAAAGTTTGAGGGATACTAAAACGCTTGAAGCAATTTACTTGGCTTTTGTCATTATTCATCCTCACTTGTGAATAAAGTTAACTCATTAAATTGTTTCATATGCGTTACCTTTGCTTTTCTTTTCTTTTCATTTTTTCTTTAAGAGTATATGTATTTTGAGTATTTAACAAAAGGAATAGGATATTGTAACAAACAATTAGGGTTACTACCAATCAATTCCATCGTTAGATTGATTATATTGATTCAATGGTTATATTTATTTTCATCTTTGTATGGTTATGATTTCTCATTTTTAATGAGAAAGCATTAAATATGTGAAATCATAACCATACAAAGGTGAAAATAAATATAAAGTATTAAATATGAGAAATCATAATTATACAAATATAAAAATAAATATGACCGTTAGAAGAACATAATTGATCTAACGGTGAAATTGAGTGATAGTAACATTAATTGATTGAATATCGTTCGCCCTTTGACAAATTAAATGTACAAATTACAGTGAGATAAAACGATTTAAATAATGAAGTAATATTGTACAACTCATATGGCAACATGTCAGAGCATTTAATATAATATACAATGGACAAAGATTCAAAAAATCATTTGAAGAGCAAAAAAAGAAAAGAAAAAAAGCAATTGATGAGAAATTTATAAAAATGACTACTTGGGCGTGAACCAACTTTAGTATATAGAAAATTCTTTATCTTCCTAATGAAGAAAATATATTCTTGAAAAAGGAAGCATTAAATTTTTCAATTTGAAAATATAAATACTCTACTTTTTATTTAGCTTTTACTATTTTTAATGATTAAGAATATATAAACATTTAAGAAGAGATGTGACATTTTTTTCACATCTATCCTGCCTCTCTTCTCTCTGATATCGTTAGATTAGAATTTGAATCGATATTAGAATTTGAACTGATATTCACACTTTTTATCTTTTATTGAGAATCTAATCTAATGATTTTGAAAAAAAAAAGTAGATATAAAAGAAATAGACAAACCTATCACAATTAAAATATCAGAAAAATATTTCAGTAGTTAATGCAGATAAGTTATCTGTATTTACTCTCAAAACGACGTTGTTTTGGGATTAAAATATTAAATAATTATAATTTTGAAGACTGTAATATCCTTAAAATAAATTAAAATTACAAAAATACGATAATTTCTGCTTTAAAACGACGTCGTATTGGGTTTACTGCAGATAACTTATCTGCAGTACTTGTAGAAAAAATGAACCCTTAAAATATAAAAAAAAAAAAAAAAAAATATAGATATCCTCTTTGCAGTTACTACCTAACACTCAGGGCCTCGGGGATGAGGTTACTGGTTATGGTTAGCCGTGGCTGTGCACATGCTATGCAATGGGATATTAGGGCTAAAGAGCTAAATTAGTAAAATAATAATAATAATAATAATAATTTATCAGAAAAAATATCAAAAAATTAATATGGGATTGTTTTCCATACATTTATTACGTGTGAGACTAATTTTTCTTGAGGGTATTAAGGTTGTTCATCTAAATAAGTGATTCTTTAATAGGTTCAAACTTTTATTATTGCTTAAGTTGCTATTATTGTTGAACTCAAGTTTGTTTTTGCTTATTACTGGTCACTTTGTTGCCCACAAAATTTTAACAATTGATAATAACACAATTTTTTGACACACTTTTATAATTAGGTGATTTATATGTAGGTCTCATTAAATAAAATGAGGTCACTCTCTATTTAGTAAGACGAAATTCATCTAATACTAAAAAATATGTTGAAAAATGTCTATATATATATATATATATATATATATATATATATATATATGTTGTTAACATTTTTTATAATTATTGTTTTGAATCAAATCTCATATTGGGGCCAGATCTTGATTGGTCATCATATTACGATCAAAGGATTAAACCCAATAATTAGGAAAAAGATGTCACTTCATTTGGGCTTTGGAAGTTAAAGAGAAAAATCATAAATTTTTTTATTAATAACAATCCTACCATGTCAGCTATATCATTGGATTTGGGCCTCCAAACAAATCACTAAAGGTTCAACACTCCGCTACCCACATCAAACTTTATAAATAAGAGGTAAAGCCTACAAGTATGTACTTAATCTCTTTTTTACCGTTATGTTGTCACTGTGCACACATGTCAAACGTCATTTTCGTCAGTGTATAATGATATGTAACCTCAAGGATATCTCCTTCATAAATTCCTTAAAGAGCACTAGATCCAAAAGTAACTTATTAGTCTTTGACTAGACACTTCTGTCACTTAGACATAACAAAGGGTTTAATTGAAAAATAAATTTTGTTTTCCAAAAAGGTGACATACATCTTAAAAAAAAGCTCTTCTTATGAGCTTTTAACTTTTATTTTTTTATTATAAAAAAGCTCTTTTTTTAATGAGAGTTTTAATAAAATTATGTTTCGCTAAATTTTTGCTTATAAAAAGTAGAGAAAGTAAAATAAAAAGTTCACAAAGAAGCACTTACTTCCTCTCTCAACTTCCATGATTACACTCTTAAACAAACATTACAAGCATGTGGAGAATGTGGATGTGGTGATCCATGGCACTATTGGATTTGGACCATCTTCATAATAACTATATTTATATATTCATTGTAAATAATTTATTTGTAGCTTAAATTAAAAAATAAAAAAGAAATAAAGTAAAAAAAAATATGCAATAAGTGTCAAAAACACTATATTTTTAATATTAAAATTACTTTAAATAATGATTAATATGATTATTAATATAGTGTTAATTAATAAATCTAAAAGATATTAAAATAGGAACAACTAGATAAGATTTTAATCCATTTTCATATTGTTTCAAGTTATTTCAAGTTCAATGTAACAAATTACTAATTTGAAGGAAAAGGCAGTTGGGATCAGTTGCAAAGGATAAGGATCAAGAAAAATAAAGAATTAATCAAAATTAATCCTCAGTGAGCCTGGACCAAATTAAAAAGCACATTTTTATTTCTATAAAAATGCACGTTAGGGCTAATTCCATACATTTGGAAGAGCAGACAAAGGAGCACTTCTGGAGACGACTGCAGAGGAAAAGCAACAAAATAAAAACAAGAAATCACCATGGAGTTTCCATGCTAAGTTTTATGAATCTTTGTATTTTCTTTTTATCTTTTTATTCTGATTTTATGAATATGTTATGCTAAATTTATTTATGTAGTTAGGGCAAGACGGAACCAATGAGTTCTTAAACGTTGTTTATCCTTTCTTGCAATTTATATTCATGATTTGAGTTATGCGATTAATCTGTTTTTAATTCATAGTCTCGTTTATGATCTGGCCAATCTTGAATGGGCATTAGAATCTTGCATGACAATGGGGATGTTGGTGTATTGATTCCGATTAATTAATTGCTATCTAGGGAAAGATGTTGAACAACAGCGTTTAATTTGAGAAAAAACATTATTATTATCGTCTTTTTTTTAGCATCTAATTTTTGATTTTATGAATCTATATAAATATAATTTTTATATCTATTTGAATTGATTCGTAATCAAATTTCATAATCCATTTTTTCAAAAAAAAAAAAGGATTATTAAATGAATATTCTTTTTGATTCAAAATTCAAAATTAGTGTCTTCGGAAAGTAGGTTTTTATGATCCAATAAATAATCAAACCTATTTAAATATTCCTGTTATTCAATATTTCCTTGAGCAGGGCACTCAACTTACAGGAACCGTTCAGGATATTTCAAAAAGGGCGAGTGTTTAGGGTGTCTATAAGCGTTTGCAATTTTTGTAATAACAATGTTGATTTTTCGGTTCACATAATTTACTTTTTCTTGTACATTCATTTGTAATTCTTTGATTCTTCTAGGGGTCGGTTGAATTTCAAGTATTTCATTTCACAAATAGGATATCCCTATGTGTAAATAACCCAATATTGGTTCACAATCAATAACATCCTCACCATCCAGAGTAACAATAAGTCTAAGAACACCATGCATTGATGGGTGATGAGGTCCTATATTGACTATCATGAGGTAAAGCCCCTGTCATAATGAATCTTGCGATGTATTGATGATGAGTATATAACGCAGCCTGGGTAATAAAGTCTTGCGCTATAAATGCATAAACAGGTAAAAAGTAATGTGTTGAGCTACCAAGGAAGTAATAACCCCTAAAGAAGCTAGAGCAAGGCCTAATTGAAAATGAATTGAATTATTGATTGTGTCATAAAGAAAACATATAAATAAATGTTCGATAACAAAGAAAATGGATCGGTTAATTCAATAAGAAATAAGAAATGGGAGTGAGTAATAACTCTCATTTCTTGGTAGGGCCTCATTGGTAAGTGCTACAAGATCTCATACATTCAAACCCATAGTTATGGACCCGAATCCATTATTATGGAACATTTTCGTTTCCAAGTGAAATCCCTGAGTATATGAAAGAGTGAAAAGTGCTTTCGTTGTTGTGAAATAAAAAGCCAGACAAACCTGTTACAATAAGACTTATCGAAACCCGTATGGGTTCGGGAAAGGGATCCCTTTGCCCTTGAGAACGTGAATGGAACTCTAGGAGATCGAATTTCCCATTGTTCCTTAGTAGCTCAACGGTAGAGCGCTCGACTGTTAACTGACTGGTCGTAGGTTCGAAAGTCTGAATTTGTTCGTTTGGAATCTGGACTCTTCTACTGCATTTTTATTTACTTCTTATTATTTTTCTTTTTTGATTTCTTTTTTCTTCCATCATTGTTAATGCTTGCTTTAGGAAAAGGTACTGAGAGATTAGGCTTTTGAATAAAGTAAAAGATCAAATTATCAAAGGATTGAGATTTAATCAAATTTAGAAAGAATCGTTAATAACTTAATCTTGAATGTGGATTATAAGAACGGTAGACTTGTTAGGAAAACATTGAGGAAGTCGAGTTCCTAGCTACGTCTTTTATTAGAAGTTAAAA